AGTTGTAGTCGGCTCGCCTTAGCTTGATCGAGAAGCTCGCGAACCAAGTCTGTGCATTCAACTACTGCTGCTCGACGTTCTTGTTGGATATTCAATTTCCTTCTCTCATCTTCCCTGATCAGATCGGACAGAACAACACAGGTAGCCTCAGCCGAGATCAATATATGTTCAAGGGAAGGCAGCGGCTCGGATTTTCTTTGTTCTCGCCCGGACTTCACTGCAGCTGGCTGTATGGCAGAAGTAGACTCTGAGGAAGGATGCTGCTGACGAGTCGTGAGTTCTCGAACTACGGTAGACTTCAACATGGGTTGAGAGATGGAAGTCATTTGACCCCTTTCAAGAGCTTGTCGCTGAGCTAATTCGGTGTTGCGAACGCAAGACTGTAAGATTTCTTGAGACAGTCGGGCAAAATCGGGGTCATTTGGAGGAATGTTGATGTCCAAACACCGCAAATTGGTATTCATCTTGACTGAGACCGCCAAGGCCATTACTCCAGCAATGTCGATCTGAATCCGTTTTTCGATGATTAGTGCTTATTTGATCAAAACCAGAAAGAAGAAACTCAACTGAATAATTCTCAGTTAGGTCTAAATGGATTAGACTTTGCATTTCCGGGAGAAATTCAGCCAAGGCAATGGCTCCCTCCGAAGACAACTCTGTTTCAGACAAAAACAGTCGCTTCAAAGTAGTGTTGACAGTACAAGTGGTACGTAGCGCCAACATCTGCCAATATGGGGAGAAGAATCGCGAGCGTGTAAACGCAGTCAGTATGAATGTTGATCCGCAGATAATACGTTTCTTGCTTACTCACGCCTTCTAAGCCACCCGCGCAGCATGGATTTTTGCTCAGATCCAAGGTTTCGAGACATGTATTGAAGCGCTACAAACCATTAAGAATCATGAAACAGATCTTATCTACGCTTCACCTGAGCGGTAGAATATATGGAAGCATAGCAATTCATACTCACCAGTGCATCTGACAGGTGAACCAGGCCGATTGAATCTATCTTGTTATCGGCCAGATTGAGCACCTTCAACGTTCGATTCTTTTTCAGGACTTGAGCAAGGTAAAATACGTCTGCACTCTTCAACTCGTTTGATTTTACATCCAAAGTTAAGAGATGCCCCATCTTCGGAAGGGAGTCAATTTTGGATTTCAGCTTGATGCGTTGCTCGTTTGCCTTTTTCACCTCTTGCTGGATCATGGAGCTGATACCACTTGATGGCTGATGTAGACCTAACTTAGCGGCCCCGGACGAGTCACTCAGCGCCCCGGAGGAATGGCTATCTGGTTGCTGAAACGCAGGTTTAAGCGAGATGCGGTGATCGTCGAGCAAATTAGTCTGTCTGGCGGTGACAGAGTTGGAACTCTCAAATGGCGGGGCTAGTCTCGGAGTAACAGCTTCATATTCGGTACTATGGATCCCCTGTCGTAGTAGACTTTCGAGTGCGTTTTCTGAATTACTCAGAGGCGTTCCACTTGACGAACCATTTGGCTGCGCAGGCCAATCTCGAATCATTACTGCCAACGCAACAGCTCCCAGATGACCTATTTTGTTTTGCCGCAAAGATATGTGTTTAAGTTTCGAAAGCCTGACGCTGTGGCTCAACAAATCCAGATGTGGGACCTTGAGGTTGCAGCGGTCGAGCCTCAGTGATACCAGTTTAGAGGGACCGGCTTTGGGAACAACAGATATCGCTGAAAGTGCTTGAAACGCGGGGGAAGGTGAATCATCTCGCAACAAAGGTGCTTTCCGAAACAAAGGTTGCTCCTCGTCGGCTAGAGATGGAACTGTTTGAGTCAAGGATGCGGTCCTGTGCGAGTCTTGATCTGTTGTGCATCTCTGAGAGTTCTCAGACTCGGGGTTCATTTGCGTAGCAGGATGATTTGCCCGCGAGGTGGTCGGATCGTATGTGGTGAGGGTAGAAGTCATGCCTGAGGGTTTGTTAGTGCCTGTTTGGGGTGTGTAATAGTCATCTTTACGAATTTGGCCGGCAAGGGCTTGTGCAAGGTACTCCACTGAACGTTTATCAAAAGAGTTGTCTGAAAGATCCAGGTTACGTAATGCTCGTGCCTGCACATGCAATAAGAAACGCCTCGCAAAGTCATCAGACACATCCCGTGGATCAAGGGTTTGACTCCTGTAAAAACTGACCATTAACTCACTTTGGTCAAGAACACCGCCACCATCCTCCATCCCTTTGCTCTAATTTTTTTATTATTTGCAAGATTGAGGGATGGCAGGCTACCGCTGACCAAAAGGGCATGCAAAATCGGTTTCAGGGTATCGTCTTCCAATCCACAACTTTCAAGCGTTAGAGAGTTTAGCCCGAAGTCAACGCTGATCAAATCACCTAAAAGTTCAACCGAGCCGCAGCCATTCAACTGTATGCCAGTGAGATCTATGGATTTGGGCGGACTGGGTGCCGCCTGTTTGATGATCTCCCGTAATTTCACAATACCCCAACCTTCTTCCCTGGTTCTGCAACACTCATCGTATAGCGACTCAAGGCTAGAGGCGTTCCAACCATTTTTCAAGTCAATTGAAGGAAGATGTGAGCTCGGACCACTGGCGGGCTGATCCGGAAGACGATCAGGCTGAGAAAGTCGATTGGAAATTAATAACCTCCGAGCTTCGTTGATACGTAGCTTGTTTAATTGATCGAAGGAAGGAGGCTGAGAGTTGCTGATTGGGTAGATTATTTTCAGATCTGACATGGTAAAGTGAACTTTCTTGAGAGTCGAGACGCTCAGCACAGCTTGAGGATTCGGGACAGGAGGCACCACAGAGACTGCGAACGTTTGCGAGGAGTTGGTGACACTGGAGGATTCAACAGAGGTGGTGGCCAGAGGCAATGTTGCGGGAGTGAGACAAGTGATCGAAGGTTGGAGGTTGTCAATAGACTCAACAGATATGGAGCTTTGGCGGTCTTGAGAAGGATCGACGGGAGGAATTGACTTGTGCTCATTGTGAACATTTGTGTCAGAAGGCTTGCTCGTAGATGATTGCCGAGGTTGTGGGAGCAAAGTTTGAGACTGAAGAGCATCGTCGAGCTTAGCTTTTTCAGCCGCTGCTACGGCGCCTAATCGCTTGAACGCACTACCAACCCAGCCCGCAGCTGCCTGAACCCCTTGACCTACAGCGCCTGTGCCAGTTCCAACGACAGCATTAAGAGGACTCTCTTCGACAGTGGCATATCCAAGACGAGTGCTGAAAGGATTGAGTATATCACGCTTGAAGTTGAATTTCGCCTGAGGAGGACGCGGGGGCTTGAGGATTCCCTTGACAGGCTTCCTGGGCGGAACCTGTCGATGAGGCGGGGTACGTGGCCGAGGTGGAGGGTTAGTTACACTGTCAAGGGAGGGCGTAACAGTTTCGTGTAGATGGAGATGTGATTCGATTGCTGGTGGGGAGAATCCTGAGAGATGCTGGGAGGTAGCTGGGATGTTGGGCTGATCAACGCTGGAAGTCATATCATACGAACTCTTGAGAGCAACCGGTCAGGCAGTAAGTTTGACGAGACAGGGAGACCAGAGGATAGAGACAGCTAGAGTTGAAGCTTAACATGAATGAAAGTCAAAATTCAGGATACAACTCGATCGAGTGAAGAAATGATATGATGTGGTACACTTTGACTTGTTGGCAGTACCACAGTCAGGTCCGAATCTCCACTCAACAAATCTGAACCCGTGCGTACTTCTGGCCGACTGGACCGTTTCAACACCCGTGGAGAGGGGGTCGTGTCCTGTGTCCGCAGTGCCGTGATCACTTGAAGGTGATCAAAGATGCACTCATTCATACTACGAGTATCTATTGACTCAATGGAAAAACCCACTTTTTCAAAAGTAGCCATCTTGCCATCACATTGTCACCATCATTACAATCCAAAAGTTCAGAAAATATGAAGGTACAGCCGTTTTGACAATGATTAGCAGTACACAAATGTGAAAACCCGCATAAATAATTGTATGAGAAAACAAGTATGACATGGAACTCTTGGTTTTTTCATATGTTTTTTTATGTGGGTAGCCCCAGAGGTTTGAGAGCCCCAACCCATCCAAAACTGTCCCATCCCCCTCAAAGATGCCTAAATTCTCAGCCCGTAGGAAGGTGTTATCATCACGTGACACCATGATCACACTTCTTTCTATTCTTGCATCCACCACACCCTCAAGTTCACCCATTTCATCAACTCTCTTTCCCAACTTAGTGGATTCTTTGACATTAGTTTGTTCCATGGATTATAATGATGACAATGAAGACCTGTCAGACAAAGATCATGGTCATCAAAGACAAATCATCCTCTTTTCTTAGGTTCTCATGATGTCATATTCCTTGGACCAGTGTGCCTACATAAACCATTGCAAGCAAAAACAGGAAGAAGACAAAGTAATCCTTTCAGCCCTATTGATAAAACAACATAAAGCTCAAAGGCAAATACAGTGTCCATTTTCCAACAGCACATTGATGGGAGACATTTGGAAAAAAAGGGATTATTTTATTCACTTCTTTGTTAGACTTTGGTGAAATGCCAGCACCCCTTTGTAGATGTAAAAGAAATAGCAACGGCAATTTTTCTCCTTGGTGGCTGAATTTGGAAACAATAGGTCTACATGAACTTCCTTCAATGTCCCTATTTGACCATTAGAATATGGTGACACCCTTGTTTCATTATGACAAACTTAGAAGATCCTTTGTGCTATCATAGATCTCTTGTTTGTATAAGTTTATTAGCCAGATTTGTAGCAAGATTCTCCTACTAATTGCACAAAAAAACAATCAACATATCTCATCTTGTGCAATTTATTCCTTTTGAAAGGGTGTAGCGCAGTCATCACAGGGGCATTCAAAGTTTTGAGCTGCTTTTGGGCCGCAAAAAAAGCCTCGTTGGCAAATGTTTCAAAGCATGAACCAGCATGACTACCAAAGTTTCGAAGCTCACTGAGAAAGAGTTTGTAAAGGGAGAGCAAGGCACCATGGTGAGGAACGTAAGGCAATTATAGGATCTTGCTATCATAACCAGCTCAAGCACCAAAACAAGACATTTTACCGTGAAGAAGTGCACCATTTGTGGTGCACTTTTAGCCTTTGGCATTGATCACTGCAGAAGTAGGATTAGCATTGGCAATCTTTGCTTCCAGTACTGAGAGTGATGTGAGAGGTGATGATTTGCTAGAAGATGCATACTGAGGTTGATCCACTAGATTGTGAACTCAATTTTTGATGTCTTCAGGTAGGAGATCAACAGTTTCACCATGAAGCAAGTCCCTAAACTAAATTTCATCAATATCAGAGCCTGGTAGCAATGAAAGAGGGGAAGAACACAAGGAAGCAGCTTCGGCAGGAAATGGCAGTGCAGACAGTTGAGTATTGAGGTTTTCCACGGGTAACGGGAAATGATTTGACTTTGATTTCATAGAGCTGCTCTTTGAAGGCAGAATTGTAATCAAGGCACCTGAAATTGGGTAGGTAACCTTTGAAAGAGCTCTGTGGCCTTCATGACTGTCTCCACATCACTCTGATGTTCCTGACGCTTATCTTCATCCATTGTTTCAAAATCCTCAAATGTGAAGGTACAAATAAGCTTTTTAGTTTTTCTATCTACTAAGCCGTGGTCAATGACTTGATAAAATTCTGACACAATCTCCATAGTCCGATCATAGTCTTCCACTGGGAGGAACGGATTGTTGAAACTTCAACAATCCTTTCTGAACGATACACCAGGCTTTGACGCTTCCAAACCCAAAGACACATCACCCTTATGCGCCGCTATTCCCTTCTCAGCCTGCTTGCAATGACACCTATCATAGGTAATGTAAGACTACTTACGTTGTAGCCCCACGTTGTACTTTCCCAGCAACTGGGACCCTGACTCCTTCCTTACCCTGCTCCAAGTCATAAAGCAATGGTAAAGACATTGGCTGACGTTCACTACATAGTTTGAAATGTAAGAATTCTATTGACCTCTGTACAAAAACTATGACTACTTACTAATTAGGAAGATTTTGCTTGGGTTTGACCACTTTGACCCCAGGCAATCTCTTTCCTAAGATTTCTGCTTCTTCCACCCCGGATGGTATCAATGCGCCAGTTGGTAGCCTGGTAGAAACATATAATGGGTCAGTAATTATTCTTTCAATAGTTATTGTTAAATATATGTTTACTTACTTAGGAGGAATTTGTAGTGGGTCAATAACTTCGTTCACACCTGATTTCAACCCCTCTTTTACCCCAGATGGCAACAACCCACTAGTTTTTAGCCTTGTAGAATCTGTGAAAGGTTAGCACTTACACATTCAAATATTTATAGTAAATTTAACCTCACTAATGTTACTTGGTCACCATGCTTTTGAGGCCTAGGCTTTGGTTGACTTATATCTTTCTGACAAGCTGGATCCCGCCAATTCCCTTGCAATGGGAAACCATCTTTGGCCAGTAAATGATGAGGTACGTCTATGAATGATTTAGGCTGTGTGAATGGAGGCGGAAGCTACAAATTACTGAATCACTTCTTGTTAGTAATAGTCTACAAGTTGTGTTTGATTGGTATTAAACAGCTTACATCATCACCATTGAATCCAGTCTGCCGTTTCGCATCAATCACCTTTAAAAGGTCGGATAAGTACACCACTCCTGGAAGTCCTCCCATGTGTGGGCCCCCGCTTGGAGATCTTAAGGATTATAATCAAAGGCATTGAAGGAACTTTGACATTTAGTAAGGACTTCATAGCTTACACATCCTCATATTTTATTTGCTTATGGTGGTCCCAGCTAGGTTCCAAGTCGGTCATTATTCTGGCAATTCTTCTGCCTTGCCGCGGATATTTTGAAGTAAGTCAGCTTCAAACCAGTTGTTTTGAGAAAGCAAATATCAAGACATAGGTAAGAGAAAACATAAAGTAGAGGGGCAAGGTGATAAAGCCGGCAAATGTGTGTAATTCAAGTTGTATAAAGGCTATCTATGCCACAACAAATGCCCACATCTTTATCACCTTGCCCCCCTACACATATGCCAACACTCCTATGCTTACCAAAGATCCAACTAACAAAAGATCACACCTATAAACCAATTGTAGTTGTAATCAAAAATTTGTTATAAGTCGTAATAGCGGAATTACCTTCTCCAAACGGTCGATTTGTATCACACTTACAAATAAGTCAACACACCTATGCTTACCAAAGCTTGCACTTACCAAAGATCACACCTACAAGGAGATTATAGTGCAAATCAATAGGCAGATATAAGTCCATATAATGAAAGCTATTGCAAGGTTGAAGTGAAAGCCAGTGATTTCATTGACAGCTTCAAGTCTGGGATTGATATCGATGGTTTCAGGGATCTTTGAGGCAAAGAAAGTGACTCTCATCAGTATCTTTGTCACAAAGCAAGAAGAAAATGTGAATTATCAACATAACTTACCTGAAAGCTCAAGGTCGAAGTGACTATTGCAAGGTCAAAGTGAAAACCAGTGATTTGATTGACAGCTTCAAGTCTGGGATTGATATTGATTGTTTCAGGGATGTTTGAGGCAAAGAAAGTGACTTTCATCAGTATCTTTGTCACGAAGCAAGACACAAACACAAACAATCAACATAACTTACCTGGAGTTATCTGGTTGGCGTATAGAAAAAAAACAATACCCGGTTGAACATATGTGATTGATTTGACTTGATAGACTAATTGCTAATCAAGCAGAGTTACTATTCGATGAATGATATGATAGATGAAAAGACAAAACACAATGGAGTGAAAGAGGAGAAGTATGACATCAACATTACCTTATGTGGATAGAGCAAGCGCTTGAATTGCCAATGGGGAATTGGTATGTCAATGTTGGAACCTTTGGATGTGTTTGTTGAGCAGGACAACAGTCAACAAGTAGTGAAGGCAATGGCTGAGTTTAATTGTGATGAGGGAAACTCAGTTTTGAGAATTGGAAAGATAATACATAGTGACACACGGCCATATTGAGCAATGTCACACGGTGACATGGGATGAGCGACATGTATCAACACATGTCACTCAAAAATGTAAATTATTTGTTGTCCTCAGTGTCATAAGCGCTGACAAACAATATGTGTTGTTTGTTTAGTGTCCGGACCAACATGCCTGAGGGTAATCATGAGGCAATGGTTCACAGGCTTTCTTGATAATCAGTGGTTAGGTATCATAACACTAAAGGCACAACCCAGTTTCTTGGCAAAACTGGATTAAACCCCTAAACCCTTAACATGCTGTACACTTAAGACTCCAACCCCCTTAGGCTCAGCTGTTGCCAACTTTACCTCTTGTCATGGCCTGTCAAACTACTGTGAGTTATAGATGATCTCTATTTCTTCCAGTTGTATAACAAACTAATCTGTCCCTCTCATCTTTCCTGTTCATCATGATATCACAGTCTTGTTACGCTTGATTGGCACTCAAAAATCAGCTCAAAAACTTCTTGGGTATTGTGGTGACTTGGCCGTTGCCAACAGTAGTATGAAGGGATGGTCAACAAGGTGGACTTGATTTGAGAGATGAGATTGTAATCCCAACATTTTCCCACCAAACCAATCCCAAGAGACCTCTAGATGTGACTAAACTCAGTGAACTTGGCTGGCGAGGCATTCTCAAGACTCAAAGATCTGCTGCAGAGTTTGTCACTACAAAGGTTCAAAGCTACTTGTTAAAGAAACGGAGAAATTGTGGTCAAACAGAATACAACCAAGAATCCAACTTCAACTTCAAGTTTATAACAATCAAATCGTAAGGTTTTGATTTTTCATTTTCATCATCATTGGACTAAATCTATGAACAAGAAAAACCAATGATAACCTTTCTTTTAAAAGCCAATTCACCAAATCCAATTCTAAAAAGTCCAAGAAGATATCCATCACAAGTTAAAAAACAATTGGAAAGTCAACCAGAATCAAATCTAAATTCAGATGATGAAGAAGAAGACAGTATTCCTTCTTCACCTTCATCAGATTGTCATCAAAAGAAATCTCAAAAGCAATTGAATCTAAGACCCAATTTGAACACATGAAACTCCAACCAAAAACCCAACACCAACACTGGGTAAGCAACACCCCCCGTTGCTGTTGCGCAGCGGGGCTTTGCGGTTTTCAGAGGGTGCTGCGCTGCTGTGCAGCGTTTCTCGTGGGGTCAAAAAACCCGCAGAGCTTCTGAACCCTTGGAAATTGTTTTTTTTCTGGACCGCTACGCAGGCACTCCTTGTAAGAATTCGAGTTGGCTGAGACACTAAGCTACTGCAACAGAAACACACAACCTTTTATAAAGGTGACAAGACAGTTCAGCCTGGTGTTGACTAGACACGGGCTGATGACAGAGACAGCGAGTTCTAAACTCGAGAACGCACCTTTTATAAAGGTGACAAGACAGTTCAGCCTGGTGTTGACTAGACACGGGCTGATGACACAGACAGCGAGTTCTAAACTCGAGAACGGACCTGAATGAGGGAACGTGGATGATGAAGAAAACTACTTTAGAATCTTTTTCCACGATGGTATCACACACACACAACTACTAACCTTTTATAAAGGTGACAAGACAGTTCAGCCTGGTGTTGACTAGACACGGGCTGATGACAGAGACAGCGAGTTCTTAACTCGAGAACAGACCTGAATGAGGGAACGTGGATGATGCAGAAAACTACTAAAAGAGAAATAAGAGAAATAGTAAAACGTAGAGGTATAGTGTAAAAGAAGTTTTAGTAACAGTTACTTCGTAAAGTGATATTAGGATAAAGAAATAACACTTTCTCACCTTTAGAATCTTTTTCCACAATGGGGGAAAAAGATTCAGATGGAAGAGAGAGGGAGGTTAAAAGGGAACACAACTCTAGCAAAGTCACAAGCTCTCTACAAACAAAACACAACAGTAAACACACTATCCCCTAATCACATCCGAATGCGGTAAGTTCCTTCTAACACAATCCTAGTTCCTATCACGGATTCAGCCTCATACCAGTTGATTTTGTTTCCATCCAATCCCAATCCGTTCAGAAGACGTTTCCATTTCCTTAATGGTTTTGACACAACACCTAGAGAACCTTTCATTCTCCAACACTCCTTGTAGCACCGCAGACCACAGGCAGCGGTTGTTGCGGGGCCATGGAGGCCAATTGGGTTTTTGTCACCCAGGTGTCTACTTTCCCCTTTGGAAATCACACTTCAAGTTCCATAACATGATCAACTGCCAACCCCTCCCAACCCTCTCTCATACGCCAGCCAAACTAAACTTGATCGTGATGTATCTGGACACATTAGGCATATTATCATTTATTGGTTACATTCACATGGATCATCAACTCCAACTGATAGTTTAAAAAGGATAATAACGATAACAATCATGATCATTCTGAAGATATATCAGATTCAGATTCAGAAACAAGATCTGATAAATGGATAAACCAATCCAACCAAAAACCAACCTCAACAAATAATAGTCAGTTTGGATTATTTCATCCTTTTAAAATCATTCATATCTGATCAAGATGATGTTTTTTATTTTTTGAAAGTTAGAAATCTTATCTAATGATGAATCTGATTCTGTTCATTCTACAATCCATTCTTGTGATTCTGATGATGATTGTTTAATCGATATTGGATCACTTGATTCTGTAGATCACACGTTTTATCAATTATGTTGTCCTTATCTATACCAGGCAATTCTCTTGAATCTCTGTTCTTTTTGTCTTTGAGTAAATTTATATCTTGATTTTTTTCAGAGTTTCGATTCTTAAGGTTATACGGTAGAAAAATCAACTTTACATTCAAAGAGATCATCAAACCACATTCAAATCAGGTTAAGAAAGTTTGGCAGAGAGCTTCTAGATCAGAATTAATCAAATTTGAAGAAACCTGGAGTGAAAGTTCATTGGATGGACCAGATTGGGATCCTAAATCAAGATCAGAAGTGATACTTAAGATCTTTGAAACTTATCCAAATATCATCAATCTTGATATTGATTTAGATCCAAAACCGATCATACCACTTTCAGAACCATCCAATTCAAATAATTCTGTAGAATCTGGTAGTTATAATCCTTCATCTGATGGTCAAATGCCAAATTTATTTATCAAACCAATCTCTCAACTTACCTCACTTACTCTTCTCTCATTAACTTCTCCAACTGAAAGACCAGCTTATACTGAAAGTTTTTTAGTTGAAATCATCTTAGATCTTACCCAACTTCAAAGTTTTGGTTGTTCAAGAGTGAATGCAACGTATCCAATCCCAACAGACAATCAAGCAAAATGTGTATCAACACTTGGAATTCATTTATCTAATTTGAATCATTTGATTGAAATAGATTTTGAAAAGCTTCAATGGAAATCAACTTGAATGAAAAATTTCATTAAAAGAAATCACATTAGAAGATTGTCAAAGAGTTTTGATCCGAGTTTTACATGGGTTTTTACAGCAATTTCAAGATAGTTTGGTTTTGATTCATTGAAAGTCTGGTCTCGAGCAGACTTTGGATAAGGGAGGGTGTTGAGCCTGGCATCCTGTTTGAAGATTCTACCAAGGTATTCAAAGCCATAGGAATATCAATGACTTGATTAATTCCTTTATTTGTTTTTACTTGTTTGCGCTTTTCTACTTCTTTACTCTCATTTATTGTCTTTATTAACTTATTTATTACCATCTGTATCTTATTGTTTTTGATCATTTCTTCACTATCATTAATAGTAATACTTTGTTTAAAATTTCTTAACTATCATTGATATGTTTTGTATGTCTTTTCACTTGAATGAATTGCTTTTTGCTCACACTGGACTGGATTAGGCGTGTTGCATTGCGTGTTGCGCCTGTTGCGCAGCGCTGTAAAGCAACACTGCCACCTGTAGCGTCGCTCTTTGAGTTATGTAGGTGTTGCGCTACGGACCTGGGGAAAAATCCAGTTTTTTTGAAGAGCTACGCTGCACTGATTTGGCCTGTTGCGGTGCGCAGCATTGCTTACCCAGTGTTGCTAACACTAAATCAGCGACCAATCAAAACCCAAAACAACAACAAGCTCAAGAAAAGATCATGATCATGATAAAGGTGTAAGGATTGATAGAGAATTAGGAAATCAAGCCAAATCAGATAATATCATTTCACAAGATAATGGTTAGTGATCATCTTTTGCATCTATTAACCATTGTTTTGAAATCTTTTGATTAGATTCAATCCAGAAGGGTAGCTCAGCCATCAAACCTACTCTAGAAATTCAGATTGAGATGTATAAAGGTAAAGATTTAAATCAAACCGATTCAAACAAAGAAGCTAGAGCGGAAGGAATCTGATTATCAAATATAAATATTAGTCCTTCTTTGGAAACAGTGTTGTGGTAGTCACAATAGTATAGATAAAGATGAAGCCTTGGATCTAGATGCAGTACTCCAAATAATGATCCAATCCCTCAAATTGATCCTAATCTAGCTGATACTAATTGGTTTATTCAAATGAATTGGCATCCTATCGGTATCTTTTCTGATGGAGTTAACAGATCACTTCAAGCTAATGATATACTCCTTCTTTTTCTTTACATGTATGTCATTCCTCTTTTTTCATTCAATTCTATCATCAACTCATCATCTTCAATATATTATTATTGCAAGGTGTTTTACTTCATTTCTCTAATTTAATGCTACTGGTTGACCTCCTGCTAATGCTCCTTGGATTGCCATGATCAAGTATGTTGGATTTCAAATCATTCAATAGCAGAATTTCAATCTGACTCGAATCTTTTCATTCCATCTCAATCATTCAATTACAACTCTAACTCAATCAATCTCAATTGCCCAATCAATCAACAAACCCAACTCAATCAATTACAACCAATCAATCACAACTCAATCAATCAATTAAAACCATTCATAGCTGTGATACCAATACCTCATCATTTACAATGGTTGATGATATCTGTACTCTTGCTTGTGATCGTGGAGCTGCTGCTGCTGTGCTTTATTCTCTTACTACAGGATCTTGTAGTGTGAATTCAGAATATCTTCTTAATTTTGAAAAACCATTGGATGTTTTTAGCTCAGCAAGATTACAAGGTGCTTGTTTGATTGAATCTCAATTCAGGTCAGTCATCCATCTTAAACTTCTTCCATCACTTTTGCTAACATATTTCTTCAAATAGTGATGTGGTCGGATCTGGATATTGGTTTCAGTCCAATCTACTCAAAACTTTGGCTTCTACTATTCTAGATGAAATCAATCAAACAGGAGGTCAATCAGCTTTTAACAAGCTTTCATTTTTGATCGCGGGAATCACTGAGTTACTACGATTGATAATTGGTCTTATCTTATTATTGATCAGGTTCACAGTCTTGTATACGTTTGGGTACTTTGCTGATTCAATACCGTCTCCAGCAGCGGCTAATTCCATTGCTTTATTGAATACAGTGTCTTTCTATCTATATCTATATCTTAAAATCACAAACTGAGACAACCTTCTCCCAATTCTCCATTCCTGCCTGCTCAATTAAATTTGCCTTGGTGAGCCTCGGTGCCATGCCCATCTTCACACCCTGTTGAGACAGCTATTTGTCGACATGTTGCAAAACTAAGATACCACACTGTGTTGAGCCCATAGCCTTCACGCTTGCATCCATCAATGACCATCACTTGGCTATAATGGACTCCAGTAGGTTTTTGCATATCCGTTTCATCCTTGCTCTCATTTTGACTCCCATCAGTTCAGTAATCAGTTCGCGACTATATGTAACCTCCTCCGAGATTATTCTTTCAATATCTAGCCAACAATGAACAATGAAATTAATCAAAATCAGCATCTCAATATTCCTGATCAAAATCTGCCCATTTGCTAAATATGGATCCATTTTGCGTTCAGCACACCATCAAAACTTGGGAATATATTTGATCAATAGATTTCTATGGTAAGTAACTGGACTTTTTTTGATTCTTAGCCTGAGCATAATTGTGACTTTTGGACGATTGACTACAGACTGAACTCCAGTCTGTGATTCCCCAGATGCTTGCAGTAATTGGTCAGCCTATGAATGCTAATGCCAAAGCAATCAGATCACACGCCTTCCATTTGATATGTCCTAGCAATTGTACTCTTTTGTAAGGGAACATTTAGATTGAAAGTCAAAGTTCCACAACAAGCCAAATCATTGAAAAATCTGAGGACATGATCAATGAACATTCCAAATCAACTATTGTACACTCTGTAGAAAGAAATGTGATTCATCAACATTTGATCCTTTGTTTAGATTGGAGTTGACAATTTCAAAACATCACTTATCATTGGAATGCCACTCATTCATGCTCTCTTTGATCAAGCTGTTCAGTTCAAATGTACAATTGGTAGCAAGAAAGCTCTGGGTAGCTCATTTTGTAACATGACACTTTACTTGAAACTCTGTGGTGTCAAACTCAAAAACACCAAACCGGCTTTGACGGATCTTAGCAAGCGTAATGTTGGTGCCTCATTGACAATTAGCGCAGAGGACATACTAAAGGGTCCTGAAGATGATTCAATCACTTGGGTAGGTCACTGTCCCATTGTCACTCAATATTTGGACCATCCACTGATACAATATATTTCTTTGAAAACATCATTGACTACCTCTCAGCTCCTGGAGGCTTGTGCTACCTTTGTTTCTCTTCATTCACATTCAAGACAACTTCTTAAATACCAATCCATGCTTTGCAAGTCTTTTGTCATGGTTGTAGTAGTTGCTATCAAAGGATGCTCTTGATCTATTTGGCCTCATCTCAATTGGCTATGGCCTCTAATTGACATGGGTCCTGATAATCTGATTCATGTTTCCAACCATTGTACCATTCTATGTTGTAGTGGCAAGATGTTGATTGATGAATTAGAAGGTATCAATATTCCATGTTGTGAACCTCTTCTTGCTGAATGATTTTGCATGCCAGCTTAATATAAATTTAATTAGTGCGCTTGATGGAGTTTTAAAACATTTCAATCATCAAAGCATTGGTCTCTATGAATATCTTGAGAAATCATCTTCTCCCTATACTTCATTGGAATTATTTGGACATCCCCAGACAGATTTTGCCATTTTCGAACCATTCCTCTACTCAATTCAGCTGCGTAAAGTAAATTAATTGTGAAGTGCTGTTTTGTTTGTCAATTCACTCCTGAAACATTCTTCAACATATAAAACTTGCACGCAAAGTGGGGCAATTATCTCTGCATCCACGATGCTCTGTCAATAAAAAAACCTGGGTCTTTGAAGAGGGAAAAGGATATTTACAATGTCTTATCACTCTTGATTCCTAAACTTCAGGAGAAGGCTGCAAGTCATCAATTTATAAGACCTGAGATTGGAAATAAAAGTGTTACCAAAATCATATTTTGTGTGATCACTGAAGAGACTCGCCAAATAAAAGTTTCAATGTGTTTTGAAGTAATTAGGAATGAAACTTTTGCAGATATCAAGATTGGTCAAGGAGGAATGATTTTGTTACCAGGCATTCAAGTCCATTCTTAGCCGTGCTGAGCAGAGTTCATATGAAACCTCAAAGATTAGGAGGGTATTTTTTGGTTTGCAGCTAATACCCCACCTGTCACATCTGTTGTGATGGGCTTTGTTAAATCAGGACAATATAATCATCCAGTATGTTGAGCAAAAACCATTATAGTATCATTCTTACCTAAACATAAATGAAGATAAAAGTTGGTGAATCTGTTGTGTTTCAGTTCAAGACACACCCAAAGAAATGCATTTGAATGAAACTTCATCAGTCCATGCCTTTCAAGAAACTTAGATTGCATATCATCATCAGTTTCAAATTGTTAAACCAATTTTTATTGTTTTTACAAATTCTCAATCAGTAAAGTTTGCAACTTACACAGCTGGTGTGCTTCAGTGCTATCCATTTTAGTCATTACCAATTTGATTAAAATGGTTGAGTTTCTTGCAAATGTGAAGAGTTTTTTTATTTGGGAGGCCTCCTGGTCACTGGTGCTACGTTCTACATTGAGATGTTTGACTGGATCACCAGACCAGGTTGAAGGGTTGTGGCTGCGCTGCTGGTGAAGTTGTGATTTGAAGATCAAACTTTGGAACACTAGTCATTAGGGGTTCATTGTTGTGACAAGGTCCTGCTCTGTTTTAAGCAAGATGAAGCATAAAGGGGCGGCGTAGCTGCCCAAGACCTTGTAAATCATTAAAACTGAAACTCACCACCAAGAAAAAAATTGAAAAAAAGTTGATCAATTTCTTTAAAACATCAATCAATCTATCACATCAAAATTTAATTTTGTATGAAACTGATTTAATGAATTCATCACAAACTTATTTAGTTAGTACAACTACATCTTCCTTAAGATTGATTCAACATGCTTCTACTTTTGTTTGTTTGTTTGGTTTGATGAGTTCATTTATCGAGATTTTAACTCAAGTTAGTTTGGAATTCAATCAATTAAATAAAAAAGTTTTGGACCTTAAAAAGAAAAATCATCATAGTAATTGATCTGGAAGTGATGAAAGACTAAATTGATGGGAAAAGAGGAAATGTTTGGCCAGTGATCAGAAAGAGCGCCTTGAGAAACATATTAATGATTCCTTTGATGGGTTAGTCAAGTTACTGAACTACATTTGCACTACCACATAACAAATGAAACAGGTTGAAAGAAGTATCTCAAGTGCAATGCCACTGGCCAATGTTCAGTTGTCAAGCCTACCTAGAAATAAGGATCCCTGACCGCGGCGCCCGCCGCTGATCCGCTAGTTACTAATAAATGTTCAAACAATCAAATGCTACACTCAGAAATGCAATAACACCCAGGCGCAAAAAGTTATTGCAGAAAAATACCTAATTACACTGTGAATATAATGTACTAGCTGAATTGAGCGGCGGGCACCGCACTTGTAAGAAGGGCTCATCTTAGACACATCTGTAAGGAATTCTGAAGACCATGCTGGCTCAAATATTGCCCAAACATGCAAGCTTCCATGTCAGGGGCAATTGTTTAGATGAAATTTTATCAAAATCTAGATCAAAAAATCATAAAATAATGTTGGTCACTGGTTACAGTATGAGTAACACAGTGCTATCCCAAGTATATGACATGGTCAAGGCAACTAAAGATGAATCAAATTGTTGTTGCTGGCAGCAAGCACTGAATGGGGATGAGGCAAAGAGGTATAGAGGCCATGCTGCTTGTGAGTCCTAAATGTGGTGGGATCAAGTTTTTCAAGGAAAGCTGGTCATTGTGAAAACAGGCAATACCACATATCCTTGTCCTAAGCCGAACTCCCTAAACACCTAACCCCTAAACACCTAATCCTAACCCCTAAGCCCCTAATCCTAACCCCTAACCTCCTAACGATTTCAATAGTGGGGTTCAAGTCAAATGAAATCAGACCCAAAATGTGGTTTGGTCATTGCTTGAAAGGCTTGAATTATAATGCACTTTTTACAGCTTGAAAGTAGCCCTATAATTTTAAGAAGCTTGATTATATTTTTGGGTCAAGGAAAAAAACATCTCTTTTTGTCTCAAGAAAAGGCGCATGAGTTGCTTTTTTATTCCATAATGGTTGTTTTTTTCCTCCTCCTCTCTTGTTGAATCCATAACAGCAGATATGATGTCCTTTTTCCAGCATTTGTACCTAGTCTCAGAGCTTGTTTTTCTCTTGCTTATAAGACCTAGTAGCTTATATTTAAACACCTTTTAAGACTTCTTGTGATCTTTCAGGTCAACTTGTGCTTTAAAATATCACTCAGAAGTTATAAATTTCCTGCTTGGAATTTTTGACTTGATAATATCAGAGTACCTCAAGTATCGTTCTGTCAGAGTATATTACAAATTATAATATTTCACATTAGGGGAGTTCAAGTGGGCCAAAAAGTGCTTAAATAATTTTTTACATTTTGTTTGGCTGGAATGTGGCCCTCAAGCAGGGCTTTCTGAAAGTGTTTTGAAAATTGCAAGATTATAGGTAAAATTTTAAAGTAGGGATGGTTATATTTGAAGCATGGTTTAATTTGAACTCTCCTATTGTACCATTTGGTGATCTTTATACCAATTAGCAGTTTTCAAGTTGAATGAAATAAAACACAAAATGTGTTTCAGGCATCACTGGGAAACCTTAATCAATAGCTCACGTTTTGAAGCTCACAAGTTGCTCTAGAGGCACTCACAAGCTCCAAAATTATAGGTCAATGCCTATGATTTTGAGATGCTTGATTATTTTTTTTGGATCAAAACAAAACATCTTTTTTTGGATCAAGAAAAGGCATATAAATTGTTTTTTTGTTCCCTCACGCTTGTTTTTTTCCTCCTTCTCTCTTGTTAAGTCCATAACACAGATAAAACATACTTTTTTCCAGTGTTTTGACCTTGGTCTTAAAGCTTTTTTTCTTTTCTTTATGAGACATAGTGGCCTATTTTTAGCCCATTCTTATGATGCCCAAGTCAGTTTCAGGTAAAATTTGTTCTAAAAAACTCCCTTGGATGTTGTAAAATTCCTACTTGGAATTTTTGGCTTGAACCCTGCTATTGATGATAACTTAGGGTCTCTTGGGGGTTTTTGGGTTGACTTACGACCATGTTTGCTTTAGTTTAAATTCTTTCAGTCTTGCTTCAGCTGGTGTCATTCTTGCACATTTGGTCCTACTTCAGTTTTGAACATAGATCCTGCTGCACATATTTTGACTTTATCATCTGGTTTGTCTTGATTTTGAATTCAAAAATCATAATACTTGTTTGGTAATTCTATCCATGGTCTAAGAAAAGTTATTAAAATCATTAAACTTGTTCATTTTGTTTGCAGAGGGGTAATGAACCAGCTTTAAGTTTTTGTACGTTCAAGGAAAAGGAAGAAAATAGTTTACATCTCATCACCATTGATTTCCACCCACTTATTCTTGACTTGGATTTCTGGAAACTGAATTTGAAATCATTACATATTAATAATATGAGCTCAACTGATTCTACATAAACCACAAAACTCAAATCCAGAACCATCCCAAAAAACTTCAATCAGACCAATTCCTACACCATCTTTTTAAATGTAAAGCAAAATCTGATATATCTCTCAATTAATTCATAAATTTCAGTTGAAAATCAATCTGACATAATCAAGTTGCTGTCCAAATAATCCTTCATCATTATTCTCAACGTTTGATTTTTGTTCTTGTGAATAAGTTTTAATCAATAATTAAATTTCCCAATTTGTTAATCTTTCCCATCCCTTTTATTGATCAATGAAAAAAATCAAATCAGATCAAGATTAAAGGGAACCAAAAAATGAAATGATTACTTACCATTTCAAATACATCAAGACCATAAACTTAAGACACACCAGACCCAATGTTCAAAGTAGAAACCTTACATGACCTATCATTTAATTTCATCTTCATTGAGTATACTCCTTTTTCAATATCTTCTATAAGAATCCCAATGCATTTCTCAATGAAACATTCAATTTTGATACAACGAGCTCAAATACTTAGAAGGAATTAAAATTTATAATTCAATTGTACTTGATGAATTAAAATTGTTCCACCGATGTTTTGATGGTTTTGATTATGAATTTCTCAAGTTTGAAGGTGGAGCTCTTAAGGTTTTGAAAGGGAATGATTTGGCTAGGGGCTTGGAGATTCATTTCCATTGTGACTTGGTTTAAATTATATGAAATTGTACTAATGGATTCCTTCTGATCAAACAAATAGCAAGAGTACAACCAATACTTCTTTATAAAACATAAGAAATCTGATTTATAAAGAATGGATGAACTCAACTGATTCTTCTGAACTCTTTGGTATCCCATCCATCATCAACCCAAGCAAATTCTCTCACCAAACCTTGACAGAATCCAATTCTAAACAAACATCCTCGTGTTTTCTTCATTTTCATTCTGGACTTTGTTTTTTTAGAAATTGGTAGTGATTTGATTAATTGTTTCCTTTTGATTGAAGTTTTAGGTGAAAATAAATATTAGATCCTACATTCACATCTAGACTTTTTTTCTGATCTTTCCAAACAACAATTCTACAAAAGAAAAAAGAAAATCACCCCACTCAAAACTCTCTTTCTCTTTTCAAAATCAATTGAAGTGATTCCTTTGATTACATTTTCTCTGGAGTATGATGATTGA